TGTAGTATTTGTCATATAGGCTTTCTTGAAATGGAAATTTATTGCTGTATATTTTAATCCTCTTACATTTAGTGCACATGGCAATGCTTTTTTTTCTTATTTTGTATTTAAGTTTTAACATTTAAGTTTATAATGTTTCTTTTTCTTCTCTTATTGTGTATTTATGTTTTAGTATTTAAGTTTAAAATAATTTTTTGAAGAGGGAAAAAAAGGAGAACCCAACAACATGTATGTAAGAAACACCCTTGATACAAAGATTCACACAGCTTTAAAAATGGAGGGATGTCATTCTCTAAAGCAGTTTGGAATTATGCCCCCAAAGTCATTCATTTATATGGCCTTTAAATAAACAATAACTACAAGTAGACCTATAAACTAAAGAGATCAAAGAAAGAGAAAAAAGGCACATTGGCACAAAATATTATAGATGCTGTTTTTTGTTGTTGCAAACAATAAATCTAAACCATGGTGATGCCCCTATATTGGCAAATGACTGAGGACATGATGGTCTAAGAAGATAATGGAACCTCATTTTTTCAGAGGAGATGATGAAAGGCTCAATTTCATAGAAACCTGGGAAGAGTTCTCTGAACTGGCTCAGAGAACAGTGAGCAGAACCAGGAGAATAATGTATGCTGTTAAAACAGTGTTCAATGCAATGAACAAGTAGGACCCCAGAGCAGAGCAGGGTCTCCCAAAATCTTTTGTTCTTAGAATCCCTTTCAACAGCCACTGTAAAAAGTGTGTTGTGATCCTCACTGCTTGTTTAGTGTGATACTCAGAAAAAATTGTTTTAATATAGGCATTAAGGGCTTACAATAGTGACATTAATAATGTTGCCCCCCAAAGTTCCAAATTACTATTTACACTAGTCTCTATTATAAAATATAACATTTTATTCTCCTTGTAATTTTGAAAACTAAATATAAAATTATAAATCCAGAATTTTAAAATAATTTTGAAAATTTCATAGTGGGCTTTCTCTAAGAATCAGCATAAATAAATAAATGATAATGACTGACATTTACATATGATCAAATACATGTCAATGTTGATATCAGGAACAGGAACAATAGATTGACTAAGAAAGAAGATTTGGATGAATTAAGGTTTGTTGAGTTTTCTAGCAGGGAGTCTGACCCAAAGAGGCAAAGACTCCCCAAATGAAGAGTACCCAAGGTTTATATAGGTTTTAGGGAGTAAGGAACAGAATAGGGAGGTGGGGGAAAAGTGATTGATTAAGGCTTCTGTTGGGGCACTTGAGAATGATCTGGGGCAATAAACCTTTTACCCAGTTGCAATGTTAGGGGTTTTTGTATAACAGAATGTGGGGATCTCGGCTGTTTCTAAGAATAGATTGCAGAAGATTCCATGGCATAGCCCATTTGGGGTTACTTGCATTGCAGGTACTAGTGGGAGAGTGCAGACATATATTTGTGAATGAAATGGAGTGATTCTCAAAATAGAGGAACTGTGGATCCACACTGGGCACTGTGCTAAGCATTTTAAAGTAATTAATTTGATTCTTTCAACAACCCTAAGAGGTAGGTACTCTTATGAACTTTATTTCACAGTTGAGGAAAAGGAGACAAACAGAAATTAAATGGCTTCCTAGGGTCACACAGCTAATAAGTGTCTGAGGTCAGACTTGAACTCAGGTCTTCTTGACTCCAGGCCCAGCTCTCTATCTTCTCTACCACCAACTATATTTTAATTTATAACCAGAATACAGTGAAATGGTCCCTTACATATGTATGAGGTGGAAAATGGGAGGAGAATTTTACAAGCTCTCCTGGTAAGGGATGGAAATTCATTTTTCGTTCTTAGTTCCCTAACCCATAAACAAAATTAATCTTTAGTCAGTATATATAAGATTTGTAGTGGATTTATATATTTTTATAATTGGCTAATAACAAATAGTGTATTAATTGATAAATATACTTGAAGATCAATTACATATATTGCTTTGATTTTCTTATTTTTAAAAAAACATGTTTACATGTAAAACAACCTTTTTAAGGGAAGATCTCTTTAACTTTTTTTTTTCTACCCTGGAGCACATACCACATTCTCACAGAAACTACTGAAGGGCTACCTCAGGCAGCTGGCCATTTCCTTTGAATATTGACCTCATTTGAGAATACTAATATAATTTGAAGATAGGGTTAACACTTTGTGATGATCCACGATTTCTTTCAAGAATGCTTGTCATGTGAATGCCTAATGATTATGGATCACGGTCAGGTAGCTGAAGTCTGTCGTTTGCAGGAACAAAAACATTTATGAAATCTTGATCTGGTGATTACATCCCTGATGAGATGTGATTACAAGTTAACTGGTGAAGGAAGGAACACCTCCATTGCAGTCACACCAAATGACGATCTGTGCATGCTTGTGACCTTCCATTGGGAATAATAGATCCACACACAAATGTTCAGCATTTCTCAGGGTTAGGAGACAGTTTGATGACAGGTAGAGAAACTGAAGGAATATGTTGTTCTTAGTCAGAAACAGTCAGAGACTGATGTATTTATTTGCTACTTGAACACCAAAAGCATTGTAGGTCTTATCATGATTTTTGGAATCACTGCAGAAAAAAGCAAGATTATGCTTCACTTATATTGGTCTATACCTTATTTCTCCAAAATTGCTTTCTGGTTTTCCCAGCAGTTTTGGTCAAATAATGATTTTTTGTCTTAAAAGCTTAGATCTTTGTGTTTTATCAAACACTAGATTACTATGGTCATTTTTTACTGTGCATTATGTACCTAATCTATTCTATTAATCCACCACTCTGTTTCTTAGCCAGTACCAGATCATTTTGGTGGTGAGCACTTTGTATTACAGTTTGAGATCTGATACTGGTAAGCTACTTTCCTTCACATTTTTTTTTATTGATTCCTTTAATAGTCTTGATATTTTGTTCTCCTAGATGAATTTTGTTATTTGCTCTAGCTCTATAAAATACTTTTTTTTTTGGTAATTTGACCAATATGGCACTGAATAGGTAGATTAATTTGGGCAGAATTGTTATTTTTATTATATTGGCTTGACATACCCATGGGAAATTGATATACCTCCACTTGTTTAGATCTGAGTTTATTTGCATGAAAAATGTTTTGTAATTTTGTTCACATAGTTCCTAGGTTTGTGTTAGCAAGTAGACTCCAAAATATTTTATATTGTCTGCAGTTATTTTAAGTGGAAGTTCTCTTTCTATCTCTTCCTGCTGGACTTTGTGGTTAGTATATAGAAATGCTGATGATTTATGTGGGTTTATTTTATATCCTGCTTTAGTAAAGTTAATTCAAGTAGTATTTTAGCTGATTCTCTAGAATTTTGTAAGTATATCATCATATCATCTGCAGAGTAATAGTTTTGTTTCCTCATTGTGTATTCTAATTCCTTTAGTTTCTTTTTCTTCTCTTATTGCTATAGCTAGCATTTCTAGTACAATATTGAATAATAGTGTTGATAATGGACATCCTTGATTTACCCCTGATCTTACTAGGAAGGCTTCTAGCTTATCCCTGTTACAGGTAATGCTTGCTGATGATTTTAGATAGATACTACATATTATTTTAAGGAAAACTCCATTTATTCCTATGCTTTTTATTATTTTTAATAGAAATGAGTGTTGCATTTTGTCAAAATCTTTGTATCTATTGAGATAAACATATGATTTTTGTTTATTTTTTGTTGATATAGTCAGTTGTACTGATAGTTTTCTAATAATGAACCATCCCTGCATTCTTGGCAGAGATCCCACTATGTATAGTTTTACTATTTATTTCCTATTGTAATTCATTTAAGTTTTCCTTTGAAATTTGGATGCTATGCCATTTTATATGGTACATTTTAGCAAAATGTATTTTCCCTGCTTATCTCTTTTAACTAGGTCTTTTATGCTACAGTTATACACATACTTGTTTTCCCAGAGGAAAAATGTATGTGTAAGAAAATTGAACTTAAAGTGTCTAAAGAATTTTGAGCTCAAACCACTTGGGCAATCATCACCAACTCCCAAGGGATTCTTGATTGCCTAAATGGGAAATATTATCGAACGACTAATAGGGCAACATGCTGTTCAGAAATACTATTTTTGGACATGGGAAATGCATAGGTTTTTAAAATTGTGTTTATTAAAAGATTTTTAGTTTTTCTTTTTTTATTTAGGGAACAGAGGCACTCAAAGATAAAAATTTAAAAATAAAGAGATATTGGCTGTCTTAAAAAAGTGATGGGCCAGAACAGAATCTAATATACCTCAGATGGATGTAAAAAACACGATTGGCAATCGTGATGGGGTCTCAGCTACAGCAACAAAATATAATTTTAAATATGATCATCAGAGAAATCACAGTATATTAAAGACAAAATAGTGAAATAATGTGAATATTTGGTATATTGCAACAAATATAATATCTATAGACCTAAATAGATTATAAGAAATGGTGAATATAACTCTGAAAATTATTACAACTGAAAAGAGTAAATCTTATTCTCAGGTCTGCATGAAATTTACAAAAACTGACCATATGATAGAGCATCAAAACTGGTCCATACAGAACCATAGAGTACCTGAACACAACAAAATAAAATTGTAATTAACAAAATGCATTTGAAGAAAGCATTGAAAGTGAGATGGAGAACATCTGTCTAGTGCAGTGGACAGAGCATAGTCACTGGGCTTGTGTTCCAGTTTTAGCTGCTGAGATTTAGGTCAGGTCACTCAGCCGTTCGAAGCTCGTGAACTCAATTGTGAAGTATAATGAGAATCCTCATTCTGCCTGTGTCTCGGGCTGTTTCCAGGATCCAGTGGGCCTGCATGTGGAACTCTTTGTTAATTAAATCATCTTATTGGTGTGATCTGTTAGTATTTTCATTTGAGTTTAAAGACTTCTTTTTGACTGGGGAAATTAGATGTCAATCACTTTACTTTCTGTCAACAGAAGGAAGAGAATGTATTTATAGTGTATGTGTGTGTTTGTTTCCATCAGATACAGAGAACAGACTAGATGTGAAGGAGATGAGTGCACATCTGAAAGTGACCCCATGGAACAACTATTCTCAATATAGTGAATACAGGGCTGGTCTTGCTACACATGAGACAACCCATACTGGAAAGGGCCATTATGATTGCAATCAACATGAAAAAGCTTTCAGAAAGAGTTCCAATGTTGCTAAAGGCAAGAGAATCCACACTGGAGAGAAACTTTATGAATGTCCTGAATGTGGTAAGTCTTTTAGTATACAGTCTTCCCTTATTGTACATCAAAGAATTCACAGTGGAGAGAAATCTTTTGAATGTAATCAATGTGGAAAAACTTTCAGAAAGAGCTCCAATCTTGCTGTACATAAAAGAATCCACACTGGAGAGAAACCTTATGAATGTAATCAGTGTGGAAAGGCTTTCTCACGGAGGGCCCATCTTACTGCTCATCACACAATCCACACTGAAGAGAAACCTCATGAGTGTCATGAATGTGGCAGAGGTTTTAGTGTTCACTCTTCCCTTATTAAGCATCAGAGAATCCACAGTGGAGAGAAACCTTATGAATGTAATCAATGTGGAACAGCTTTCACAGATCGATCCAGTCTTACATATCATCAGAGAATCCACAGTGGAGAGAAACCTTATGAATGCAAGCAATGTGGAACAGCTTTCACAGATCGATCCAGTCTTACATATCATCAGAGAATCCACAGTGGAGAGAAACCTTATGAATGCAAGCAATGTGGCAAGGCTTTCAGATGCAGCTCTACTCTTACTCATCATCAGAGAATCCACACTGGCGAGAAACCTTATGAATGTAATCAATGTGGAAAGGCTTTCAACAGAAACTCCCATCTTTGTCTACATCAGCGAATCCACAGTGGAGAGAAACCTTATGAATGTAATCACTGTGGAAAGATTTTCAGATATAGCAACAGTCTTGCTCTACATCAAAGAATCCACACTGGAGAAAAACCTCATGAATGTAATCATTGTGGAAAGGCTTTCACACAACGCTCAACTCTTCTTAAACATCAGAGAATCCACAGTGGAGAGAAACCTTATGAATGTCATCAATGTGGAAAGGCTTTCACAAAACACTGCCTTCTTAGTCGTCATAATAGAATCCGCACTGGAGGGAAACCTTACGAGTGTCTGGGATGTGGTAAAACTTTTAATGTACATTTTCCCCTTACTAGACATCAGAGTATCTATATTAAGGGAAAAACCTCACTAATATAATCAATGTGGAAAATCATTCAGACTAAAAAATCTCTTATTTCATACTGTGCATAAAGCCCTAAAAATGAATTGAATTTTTCTCTGAAATCTCACCATTTCTTGTTAGTCCTCTGTAATATGGCATGGCATTCCTGTGCCATAACTTCTTCAGCCATTCCCCAGTTGATTGATGCCCACTTTTTTTTTCATATTAGTAGGCACAAAAAGTCCTGGCATAAATATTTATTTTTGTAATGATTTCTTTAAGCTCCTGGTGGCACAATGGTGCCGTAGAAGGGGGATAATAATAGCAAGAGTTGATGAAAGGATCAAATGGACAATATTTGTCAACTGCTTTGCAAGCATTGGATCACTATGTAAATGGCAGCATTTTTTTTGTGTCTCCTTTACCAAGCTGTTGACTCATTTTTCATAATTGTCTTGCATCACTCTCATTTCTCTCCCCAATTTTTCCTCTATCTCTCTTCCTTTGTTTTCAAAATCCTTTTTGAGCTCTTCTTTTTGAGCAGAGTCAGTGGGCTAAAATATCTGGATAGTTCAATCACTTTTGTTTCTATTCAAATTGATATTCAGAACAGTATAGATGAAATCAGTCTATTGTAATGGATAGGGCTCTGGGTTAAGGTGGGGAAGACAGGTTCAAATCCTGCTTTAGGTGTTGTCTAGATGTCTGACTCTGGGTGAGGAACAACCTCTCTGTGATTCAGTTTCTTCATCTCCAAAATGAGGAGGCTGGCTTCTATGCTCCCTTCCAACACTAAATCTGTGTTCTTATCAAAATTACATTCATATTTTTATAAGTTTGGCTTAGTTCCCTATATATTTGAGAAATGAGGTGTTTATCAGAGAAACTAGTTGCAATTTTTTTCTGTTTCCCATTTTCCTTCAAATCGTGGCTGCATTGGTCTTGTTTGTGTAATACTCTTAATTTCTTGTAATCAAATTTATCTGTATTGCTTACTATAATCTCTATCTCTTGTTTGGTTCTAAACTCTTCCCTTATCCATAGATCAAACAGGTACATTTTTCCATGCTCCCCTAGTTCACTTATGATATCACTCTTTATGTCTAAATAATTTATCCATTTTGCCCTTATCTTTTCTTTTGTTTTGTTTTCATTAATTAATTTATTTTGAATTATCCACAATCACTTCCAAAAGCTTTTGAGTTTTAAATTTTTCTCCCCCTGCCTCTCCACCTGTCTCCCCAAGATAGCACACAATCTGATATAGGCTATACAGATACGTGCCTATTAAACATATTTTCACATTAGTGATGTTGTAAGTAAGAATTAGAACCAATAGGAGGAGCCACCAGAAAGAGGAAACAAAACACAACAGAAGACAAAATATAGCAAATAGTATGCTTCGATTTGCATTCAAACTCCATAGTTCTTTCTTTGGATGTGGATAGCATTTTCCATCATGAGGCCTTTGGAGATGTCTTAGATGCTTGTATTGCTGAGAAGGGTTAAGTCTATCAGTATCAGTCATCGCACAATGTGGCTGTTACCGTGTACGACACTCTTTTGATTCTGCTCACTTCACTTGGCATCAGACCATATAAGTCTTTCCAGGTTTTTCTGAAGTCTGTGTGTTCATCATTTCCTATAGCACAATGGTATTTCATTACATTTATATACCACAACTTGTTCAGCCATTCCCCAATTGATGGGCATCCTCTCAATTTCCAATTCTTTGCCACCACAAAAAGAGCCAGTATAAATATTTTTGTACATGTGGGTCATTTTCCCATTTGTATGATCTCTTTGGGATACAGCCCTAGAAGTGCTATTACTGGGTCAAGGGGCATGCACATTTTTATAGCACTTTGGGCATAGTTCCAAATTGCTCTCCAAAACGGTTGGATCATTTCACAACTCCACCAACAATGCAGTAGTGTTCCAATTTCCCCACATCTTCTCCAGCATTTATCATCTTCCTGTTTTGTCATGTTGGCCAATCTGATAGGTGTGATGTGGTACCTCAGAGTTGTTTTGATTGGCATTTCTCTAATCAGTGGTGATCTAGAGCATTTTTTCATGTGACTATAGATGGCTTGAATTTCTTCATCTGAGAACTGCCTGTTCATATCCCCTGACCATTTATCAAATGGGGAATGACTTGTATTCTTATAAATTTGACTTAATTCTCTATATACTTTAGAAATGAGGCCCTTATCAGAGAGACTGGTTACAAAAATTCTTTCCCAGTTTTCTACTTTCTTTCTAATCTTAGTTGCATTGGCTTTGCCTATGCAAAAACTTTTCAATTTAGTGTAATCAAAGTTATCCAGTTTGCATTTCATAATGTTCTCTGTTTCCTGTTTAGTCATGAATTCTTCTGTTCTCCATAAATCTGATAGGTAAACCATTCTTTGTTCTCTCAGCTTACTTACATCATCAGCCTTTATATCTAAATCATGAACCCATTTTGACTTTATTTTGGTATATGGTGTGAGATTTTGATGTATGCCTAGTTTCTGCCATACTCTTTTCCAGTTTTCTCAGCAGTTTTTGTCAAAGAGTGAGTTCTTATCCCAGAAGTTGGGGTCTTTGGGTTTATCAAATAATAGATTACTATAGTCATTGACTACTGTGTCTTGCATACTTAACCTATTCCACTGATCCACCACTCTATTTCTTAGCCAGTACCAAGCAGTTTTGATGATTGCTGCTTTATAATACAATTTAAGATCTGGAATGGCTAGGCCCCCTTCCCCTGCATTTCTGTTCATTAGTTCCCTTGGTATCATGGACCTTTTGTTCTTCCATATGAATTTTTTTTGTTACTATTTTTTTCTAACTCTGTAATTCTTTGGTAGTTTGATTGATATGGCATTGAACAGGTAGATTAACTTAAGTAGCATTGTTATTTTTATTATATTGACTCAGCCTACCCATGAGAAATTTATATTTCTCCAATTGTTTCAATGTCTTTCTTTGTGTGAAAAGTGTTTTGTAATTGTGTTCATATAATCCCTAAGTTTCTCTTGGCAGGTAGATTCCCAAGTATTCATACTGTCTACAGTTATTTTAAATGTAATTTATTTTTCTATCTCTTCTTGCTGGATTTTGTTGTGAAATTGTGAAAGACTTAGCTACTCTGATACAGGCAGTGATCCAAGGCAATTCCAAAGGACCTGTCATGGAAAAAAAAATGCTGTGCATGTCTAGAGAGTAAACTGGTGAATTCTGAATGCTGTTGAGGAATATTTTATTTCCTGTATTTGTATTGTTTATATTTTCTTTTACAAAATGGCTAATATGGAAATCAGGCGGCTAAATGGCACAGTGGATAGAGTGCCAGGCCTGGAGTCAGGAAAACTCATCTTTCTGAGTTCAAATCGAGCCTCAGACACTTTACGAGATGTTTGATCCTGGGCAAATTCTTTAACCCTGTTTGCCTCAGTTTTTTCATCTGTAAAATTACCTGGAGAAGGAAATAGCAAATTACTCCAATATCTTTGCCAAGAAAACCCCAAAAGAGGTCATGAAGAGTTGGACACAACTGAAATGACTAAACAACAACAAATATAGAAATGTGCTTGGCATGACCACCTTGTATAATTGAAATAAAAGTTCTTGGCTTCTCATAGTTGGAGTGATGAGTGGGAGTAAGGGAGTAAATTTGGAACTCAAAATTTTTTTAAATTTATTGTTAAAAATTTTTACATGTAATTGGGAAATAATTAACAAGAGAAAAAAAGGGGTTTTTTTTGAAGTATGTTCATTTGTTTCCAAAGCCTCTTGTAGTATTCCAAGGAGTGCTACCATAATCAAATCTGAAACTGTAGTAGAAAGTGGTAGTCACTAAATTATCTTGCACTACTTCAAAACAGAGAGCATGTGCAGATTACATGTGTCATATACAAAAGAAAATGAGCACAGACAGTTCTTGCTTTATGTAAATTTGCATTATATAAATTCAACTTTATGTAAAGAATTTTGAAAGAAATCCGCATTCCAAAAAAACCTATGCTCATGTTACAGTGCTGTGCTCTCTCTGCTCCTGCTCCTGGGGTCAGTCCACAGCCTCCCATGCCCCACCCCCCCGAAAAAAAACAAAAAAAAGAAAACTCTTCAAGTGAAAGCAGAACAGATGTGCAGAGAAACCACCACAACAGCTCCAGGATCAGGGGCTTGGTTTGAGATCTCCAGCACCAAGAGAGACCTTTGCCCCACCCAACCCATGTCTAGTCCTCATATCTGTCTTCCATCCATCCATGCTCAGGTACCACATGTCTATCTTTGGCCCCTATGTGTCACTGGTCCTTTCCATGTCTGTGTCTGTGTCCCCATGTGTATGCCCCCCACATGTTGTTCTCAGTTCTAGCCAAATTCCCACCTGGCTAGCTGCAGCCCCCATGTTCCTCCTCTTGCTCTCCTTTCTCTATCCTAGGCCTCCATTTGTCCTTGAATTTTGTGTAGGCCACTTGCCTGCAAGGACTTACAGTCTCCTTGTCTTCTTCCTTCCCTTTGCCACATCCTCCAACAAATTCACTTTACATAAAAAAAATCACTTTACACAGAGGTCTATACAATGACATACATACATAAAGCACAAACTGTCTCATAATCCTATGTTGAACAAATCCGAAGACCTCAACTGCTGGAATTGGATTTACTAATCACTACAAAATGGTGGGAAAACTGACAAGAAATCTAGCAGAACCTAGGTATAGACCAACATCATGTGTGTGTATGTGTGTGTGTATGTGTGCATACACACACACACACACACACACACACACACACATGCCTTTTATTTCATGGTTGCAAATTTTGTAATAAAAAAATCAAATATTGATAGTTTCCTTTTTGTAATTTTTTTGTCAATTTTGAAGGTATTTTCTCTATTTTTTGCTAGAATGACTTTTATTGTCTATTTTTGATGTAACATTTGAAATAATCTTTAAACTGTAATTTTTATCTTATTTTATCCTCATTTCTTTTCCAAATCTTTTAGATTTTATGCAGTAAAAAATTGTCTTATATTAGGAATTCTCTTTTCCATA